CCGGCTCTCAACCTCCATCGCATAATGTGTATGTGATTTCTTCACCCCCCCCCCCCCCCCCCCCCTTGGCTCTTGGCTCTTGGTTTGCCAACTGTTATTGTGGATTATTGTCTCAGGCTAAATCATTGGCTCACTGATTTGCACTGATTGCAGTATTTGGTGTTTCCAAATGAATTATGTAAAAACTGTAAATACTGTAATGTTCAAAAGGAAATTAAAGACATTCTCTCTGGATTATGCGATGGAGTTTTCTTTTTACTGATTTGTTTATTGGTTAAAAGTTTATGATCAGGGAAAACTAAGCAGAGATAAAAAGATCTGTGAAACTCTGTAAAAATCTAAGAAACATTTCATTTTTCATTTCCCCCCCAGTAGACAAACACAGCTCCTCTCCACATTAATTTCCATCAGAAGGTCAAAGTACAGAGTACGGCTTTTAGTTCTGAGTCACCAGGTCGGTGCACCAGTGAACAGTAAATAGTTCATCCCCACAGTTCGTCCTAGTCAACCTTCTTGCTACTTAAAGAATATAGAAAATCTCAGTCTATGCTAAATACCTGCTGAGCTGAGAATAGAAATGCAAAAGAAGAATGCCATATTTGGTTCCCTTTGTGTTCTTTTGGGAATTTCACTGTGATTTGTCCGTGAGATTTTGTGATGAGCTGAGGGAAATCCTTTATTAGTTTTGGGGTTTACATAAAATTGAAAACTGACATTGATTACAGTGGCTGCTTTAGCGCTCCTGCTTTGTAGTCATTCCTGTCTCAGACTCATTCTTGTCACTCATTCTTGTCTCAGACTGAAGGAGGGAGACGTGTGCACACTTGGGGAAGGTTTTCTGTTGGCGTGATATTAAATATGCACATCTTCTCTCACTCAACAAAGCTACTTCTCTCTCTCTCTCTCTCTCTCTCTCTCTTATGTTTTGTCTCTCACACACACACACACACACGCACACACACACACACACACACACACACACACACCTCTGGGCCCTAATCACTGCTAGCAACAAATTGTTGTGAACGCCTCACCTGGATCTGCTTGTCACTGTGCTGAAAAGAAGAAACAGTTTTGTGCTCTGTGGTATTTTTAATAAATCTCTTGGGCGTATGTCAAAACAAGAAGGAGCGAATGAGTGCTGTCACGCCTCAGCACACATGCCAAGTCTGAGTGATAGATAGTGCAGAAGCAGGCAGTGGTAAATTGACTTTTTGTGTTTGCTGCGTGTGACTGAGAGGCAGAGTTGCAGGGATACATCACTGCAATGTTCAGCTTGTTTGAGATTAGTTTCGGAGAATAGTTTTGGGAGTCATTTTTCTAAAAGCTGAAGCAACAAGGGGAAGGGTACACGATGCCCCCCTCATACACTTCTCCATCTGTTTTTATGCACTTTGTAACATCAGAAGGGAATAATGATCATATTGTTCCTCGGTGCTGTTTTGAGGAATTAAAAAGTATACTGACTCAAGGAAGAGTTTACATTTTGCAATTACACTCAAAAAATTACACAATTGGGGCAAAGTTGGGGCACTCACAAGAGACATATTTTTTAAATAATTGACATATCCTGACTTTAAGTCCCTAAGGTTTCAGAAACACTGAATCCTACATTTACCATAATGCAATTAGACCTCTTTGCCTCCTCAATGCCACGTCTTTCAAACCACACGCCTCCAGTTTGTAAAAGAAAATATCTCAAGCCCAAGCTGAGATAACCCTGATGACGTCACTCTGACCTAAGTCTCACACAGCCGGACCTATCTCCACAGCGCTGTGTCAGCGCTAAGGAACGGTCTGGCTCCACACATTACTGTTCTGTTATGGGGGGTAAAAATGCTCAGAGTTTTGTATTTCTTTAAACCAATCACAGTCGTCTTGGCGGCGCAGACTATGCCACTAAATCCTTCACACTGGACCTTTAACATGTGAACTCGGTGGAGCGCCCCTTTAAAATACAACAGAATCAAGTGATTTAGTATCTATCCATGAAACAGCCTTTACACCATCATGAAAGGAGACACAAATTGACAGAACATTGGACAGTTAAATCTATTTGAACTAATCTCTCAGTAATCCAAAGTACCTTGCGACGACCCTGGGCTAAAATAAAAGACTGTCTCACTGCGTCTGGGTGTTTTTGGGTGTTCACCTGTAGAGAATAAACTGATGAAATGATATCACACTGCCCAGCTGACTGAAGAGGACGAGTATTTTAACAGCTGGTGCAGTTGGAAGGACATGCCTTCTGCTTTATATATAGACAGGAGCATATACAATCCCTCAGTCTGCATTCCTGTCCAACAGCACCATGGGAAATTAAATGGAATGAGGTCCCTCAAAGGAGACGTACAGCACCTCTTGTGGAGTATAAATTTAGTCTGGCATGGCATGGCATGAGAAACACGGAGAGGAAGAAACAGGCAGATAGACAAGAGGGTTAGTCCTATTAAAATGTGCACAGGGGAGATTTTAGCATCAAACTGACAGTTACAAGCCAAGTTCATGGCTTATTTTGAGAATATGCATTGGTGAACTACCAAGGGATAGGCAGCCAAACTGTGTTTGAGAGCCGTGGCTCATTAGTGTATGCGCCATCCGATTCTGCTTTATTTCAGATTCCGTCAAATCGAAGGGCAGAGGAAGAAGCACTGGTCGACAGTCTCATGTTAGAATAACAATTCTTCATTCAAATTCAGGTCCCTCAAATATCACAAACCACTTCTGGTACCCTGAAGTGTTTTGGTGAGTCATCTTCAAATCTCAGTGCATTCTATTCAAAATAATAAACCCTGAACATATGACGGAGTATTTCAAGTTAGCTTTCAAGCACTTCTGTTGGCATGTGAAAGGTCGATGTGTTGGTCTCCAGCATCTCAAATTTGAGGCTTTGATGTCTTTCTTTCTCGTATATATATTCAGGATCATACATGAAATTGTACCTCAGTATTTAAACCCATCCCACCCACCCATCAGCAGTGGGCTGCTGTAAAGCGCCTGGGAGCAACTTGGGGTTCAGTATCTCGCTCAAGGGCACCAACCGAACCGAACCGCCAACCTCACCTTTCAACAAAAGACAAGAGTTGGTTGGATTCAACATTACATTTAATTATGTCACTTTCAGCTCTGGAAATTGTGACGGACATTTGTTTTTTATTATTATCTGACACTTTAAAGACAAAACAATATTACATTAATTTACAAAATATTCAGCCGACTAATTGATAGTGAAAAATCTTCTTTTAAAGATGTATAGCTGGCTTCCTCATGTATAGTCAATAAAAATGCCACCTGATAAAACTCTGCCATCAATGTTGGTTTATTTTAAAACAAGTCAGAGTGGTGAGAATCTTTCATGCTGAGTAAATATGACTCAGACTGTATTATCTTCTGGTTTGAGTGTGGGTGTGTTTGAACACTGGAGTAGTGAGGTATGGCCTCTGTAATAGCTCAAAGAGGCCGGTTTCATAAAAGACTAAGCTGTACACGTATAGGCTATAAGTACAGTAGGTATACAGTATGCTCTGATTATATTGTAATGTATAGTGACATAATTGTAAGATAAGCACTCTCCTCTCCACTCACATACTAAACGTCCAATCTATCTGTGTTGAATCAGACATACATGGTCTGAATGGAAACTGTCAGTAATATAAACATAACCTGCTTTACACCTCACGCTTCCTATATATATTTAACCTATATTTAACCTACATTCTCCCTGGTGTAGCCGCTTAACAACCGCCCAGAAAACTGATGCAACTGGGCGTCAATAACTACAAACCCCGCCCAAACGCGTGATCTAAGTCCCCATTGGTCCGGAGATCAGCGCGTGTCTGTCGTGATTGGCCCGTGTCGCTGTCTGTTACAGTTATGGCGCACGAGTAAAGAGGAAGCCACGTTGACACGAAAAGTAGTGTTTTCTGTTTTTTTCCTCACGCAGGTACACAGTCAACGTACACTTGGCAACTCAGGAACCTCCGTCGGAACATTTAGGGAAAGGTAACTATCTCTGCGTGTTATCAATGCGTCGTGTTTCTCATTCATTCCTGGTCATGAAACCTAGCTAACAGAGCGGCTAGGACATGCTATCAGCATCAACTGGAGAGCTAATGTTAGCACTGGCTACATTAACGAATATTAAACATTGTTAAAAGGCGAACTCAACAGTGAAACAGGGTTTACTTTCATAAGCCAGTGGTTTATGAACAACAACAACGTTGCAAACTCAGCTGTAAATCAAGGAATAAGGCTTCACTAAGAAGATGTAATCAGATTACACTTCATGTTGTTCCATCTACTCGAGCTACAAACTGAATCTGTGGGATCACAACGTTTTTTTTAATGCTAATTAGCTTTATTTTAATGTAGAGTAGTTTACATAATGTGCCATATCGCAGTAAAATCAGAAGAGGTGTTGCATCAGCTGTCTGTGGACCAGCTCCAGGTCTGTTTTGAAAGGCATGCAGTATATAAATGGTGTTTTTAAGTTGTTGTTTTTTCATATATTTGGTACTTTGAAATGCATGACGGTCAGTGGCTGTTTTCACAGGTCAGAGACACCACATCATCTGACAGGATGAGTGTTGGATTCATTGGAGCGGGCCAGCTGGCTCACGCACTGGTGAAAGGGTTCACGGCTGCAGGTGAGGCCACTTCTTTATTGTGCAATATTTGCCTTGTACTGGATCTAAATTCACTGATAAATCAAATCATATTTCAGCTTAGATAACCCCCCCCCACCCACCTTCTCCTAACCTGAATAATGCCTGCAGAGTTGCACAACTACATTCATGACCATGTTTGCACAGATATGCATAAATCTTGTATATGGAGTATTGTAGTTTATTTTATACATAAAGCGTTTGTAAAGTCCTTTCCTGCATTTCTTTTCTTTTATGCTTTAGATGGCACTTTATCTGTTTCCTGCCTCTTTAGACTGTTTTAGTTTCTTGTGCTTATGTGCCATGTTCATTCGTCTTATCTTACAGTGTTCGTTTCACATCTCATTGTACATCCTCTTGGCTAACACTCCACTTCCTCCTGTCTCCCTCCCCAGGTGTGATTGCTACACACAGGATCACAGCCAGTTCCCCAGACTCCGAGCTGCCCACAGTGTCAGGCCTGAGGGTGAGAAGAAAAATGTGGGCTTTGTAGTGTGATGTCCAGGAATGGGAGTTTAAATGGAAACATTGGTGCGAGCGTGGGCTTGTCCAAGGGCTTGTAATGTGTGCATGTTGCTGTAATAACACCTGTCTGCCTTCCCCTGTTTTTTTCCTACAGAAAATGGGGGTGAACCTGACGTCGAGCAACAAAGAGGTGGTACATAAGAGTGACGTGCTCTTCCTGGCTGTGAAACCCCACATCATCCCCTTTGTTCTGGATGAGATTGGGCCAGACATCGAGGACCGTCACCTCATAGTCTCCTGTGCAGCAGGCGTCACCATGAGCTCCATAGAGAAGGTCAGCCTCTCTCGCGCTCTCGCTCTCGTGTGTGCTGTAAAGCCTCGGTTATACTGCGGACACCACAGACATGCAGCTTAATCCAGACTTTTTAATCTGCCGAACATGTTATTTTAACAAATGCCGGTTCAGCCAGTTTACATGAAGGCAAACTGGTTTAAGCTTGTACACTGGACAGGACCGGTTTTGTGTCAAATACTGTTTCCCTGTCTGTGTGTTTCTATCTTTTTCCTCCATTGTCTTAAGTTAAGTTTCATCAATGCTTCCAAACAGGTTAAAGAACATTGTCCTACATCCTGCCTCCTCTACACATCTATCGTGTTTTTTCATTTACAGAAGCTGCTTCAGTATCGTCAAGCTCCTAAAGTCATGAGGTGTATGACGAATACCCCGGTGGTGGTGAGAGAGGGAGCTACAGTGTACGCTACTGGGACGCATGCTCTGGTAAAGTGCATTGTTGATACAAGAGTCAAATATGTTTTTGGGATGTCAGTTTTTGCACTGCATCTCAGATAGAAGTATCAAAATATCTGCACAAGAAGGTTGAACAAGACCTTTTGCTTTGACTAATTCTTCTGCATTATTACCCAAATGTTGTCGTCCTTCTTTTAGGTGGAGGACGGCAAGTTGCTGGAGCAGCTGATGGCCAGCGTGGGTTTCTGTACGGAGGTGGAGGAGGACCTCATTGATGCTGTCACTGGGCTGAGTGGCAGTGGACCGGCCTACGTAAGTAACTTCAGAGCTGTGTGTGAGGTTTGATGCATAGAACCAGAGTAGAAGGAAGCCATCACTTTGTGTGTAATCCTTAATCCTAAAATAGACTAGATGGGAGCATATGACGTACAACGTAGCCCAGCTGTGGTGATGGCTTGTATTGTCTTTATTCATTGCTTCAGAAAAATGCTCACGTCAAATGCCTACTTAGCAGGTAAAGGTGTGTAGTGGAATTGTTGAGGAAATTAAGAATAATTGTGTCTGTGGGTTTTATCTGTCTGCATAGAGATTTACTTGCCGACAGGGAAAACAAACTTACAACTCTATATGTGTGTGTGTCTTTATAACAGGCGTTCACAGCCCTGGATGCTCTTGCTGACGGAGGAGTGAAGATGGGTCTGCCCAGAAGGCTGGCTGTCAGACTTGGAGCTCAGGCCCTGTTGGTCAGTTGTGTGTTTGATACTGTTTTCAGCCTGATTAATAAACAAAGATATTGCTTAAAGGTGCAATGTGTAGGATGTGGCGTCATCTAGCGGTGATGTTGCAGTTTGCCACCAACTGAAACTTCTCCCAATGTGCCAAGCGAGCAGGAGAACTCCGGTGGCGGTCGTGAAAATGTGAATGGCTGCTTTCGAGAGCTAGTGTTTGGTTTGTCTGTTCTGGGCCACAGTAGACGCATTGCGGCCGGCTATATGTAAATATAGCCGGCCGCAAGGTAATGAAACGCAACGATTCATAAGTCGGGTGATAAACACTAAAGAAAACAAATGTGATAACATTATGTTCCATTTTTGCAGATAGATCTCCTTAAATGCTACATAATGTTTTGAGGACAAAGGTGTTGCAGAGGATGCACCATGCACCCCTGACTGTGTACAAGTAAACAACACAGTGCCCTTTATCTAATCCCTTGCCTCCTTCCACTTGTTAAGTTCTTTGTCGTGTTCCTGTTTCTCTTCAGGGAGCCGCTAAGATGCTGCTGGACTCGGACGAGCACCCCGGCCAGCTGAAGGACAACGTGTGCTCTCCAGGGGGCGCCACCATCCACGCCCTGCACGTCATGGAGAGCGGCGGATTCCGCAGCCTCCTGATCAACGCAGTGGAGGCTTCATGCATTAGGACACGGTGAGACACTTGCAGTTAGGAACTAATATAAATGATTCTTTCTTACAAAAATAGACATTTCAATATTTGCAATTCTCTCTTGACCCTGTTAGTATGGCAAGTGATCCGACATGGGTTCCTCACTCCAACGTTGAAATACTCTGATCCCATAACATACAACTTAAAACTCTGTAGCTGTCTGCAGGCGTTATAGTTGTAGCACTGAAGGAAATACACACACACCTGTATTTGTGCTGTATATCTAAACACTAGGCTTTCTCTTCCTCTCACAGGGAGCTGCAGTTTCTGGCCGACCAGGAGCGCATCTCCCCAGCAGCCATTAAGAAGACTACGCTGGACAAGGTGCTCCAGCAGCCCGGAGTTACAGTCAGCGGAGTGGCTAATGGGAACGGCAGGTCGGGGCTCAGCCTGTTTAACAATCGCGGCCCCAATATCAAGAAGAAGAACTAAGTACACACACAAACGCTTATACATCTGGTCTGAGCACACATCCAAATCACTTAATACCAAATTATTTATTCATGCAGAAGTTCCATGCGGACATTGGACCTGCAAGTGTCACTACCACATTACACACAAGCACAGGTGCATTCTGGGAGCTTTGTAGACAGTTGTAGCCTTATGTTGGGATGCAGGATTACTGTCTACACACAAACACACAGAAGAGCAAAAGTGCATTTACAATCTGTAGTCTGTCTGTGTTTGAAATCAAGACTATCCAGAGCTGTCGCACAGTAACGACCATGTGGGCCTTCATGGGATCCTGGTCCACACAGGCAGCAGATGGCTGCTGGGAGAACATCACGCTCTTAATGATTGTCTTTATTTTAAAACCAAAGCCATAATGTAAATCATCCTGTACACCTCTTTTGTCTGCGCTAGTACCGACAGTAGTATACTGTTTAAAAAGACTGAAGATGGATTTTGGTCTTCATTAATAACAATCCTTCAGTGTTACAATGTTTGTTTTTAGCACATTGAGAACCTTGTGCCTTTGACCCTGGGAACCACTAAATATGTTTTCTCCCGTATTAAGTTCATTCCAAGCTTTAAAATTCAGGATGCACCGGTCAGACTTCTTCAGTCCCGATAGCGATGGCGTCGTTCCGATACCAGTATTTGATTAATAAGCTGTACTCCACCGTGTGGAAGTGATGGGGATCATTCTTTTATGTGTAAGGCAACATCAGGCTCGACTTAAACATTGCTTTCTTAACTGTATAAAACACAATATAACAAATACACAGATATAAATGTACTGAATTGTTATTGATCAAAAATAATGGTATCCAATACCACATTGTCTCATCGTCACCGATACCCGATCCAGCTGTTTGAGTCTGTATCCGACTATCGGTGTATCTCCGTTTAGTTTTCCTTTATTATTTCCTGTTTGAGGACATCTTGGGTTTATAACCCCACATCTTGAACCTCCTGATGTTTTACAATAGAAAGGCACTTACGTTTTCTCGTAAGTGTTAATTAATTAAGTATTAATTAACGAAATAGGAAAATAACCTTTCCTTAAATACACATAACATAATGTAAAAGTAATCCATTACAAAGTCCTGCATGAAATATCCTACTTATGTATGAATGTGTTTTCAGCTGAATGTACTTATGGATTGATACCACTGATTGAGAATCAAAAGCATTCTAGAGTACTGTCCACTGTGGCTCATCTATTATTGTTAATGACATTATTGGGTTGTGTCATCTGTGTGTAACTCCGTGTAAGTAACATCTTAGTCTAGAAGGTTCTCGAGGTGAAATGTTAACTCATTTATTTGCACTTTGGTAGTTTAGTATAATGGTACTTAAGCTAGGGGTCGGACCCCTCCAAAGGGTCACCAGATAAATCTGAGGGATGAGGAGAGAAGATCTGCACAAATTAAGTTCTGTTTTTTTTTTTTTTTTTACTTTTCTCATTTCTGGACTTTTTGGGCCTCAAATGGTTATTTAAATGAAATCAACTCCAATGTTAGAAGGGGCTGCAATTAGACACAGCCTTTTTGTAATCTTTGCATGACTGCTTTGTATTTTATAAGATTACCGTAGTCCGTTTTAAATGTGAAATCTTAATCTGAAATACGCAAGTAATAACCTCAATGGTGTGCTTAAGTACAGCACATTAATACATGTTGCTTTCCACCGCTGGGTGCTGCAAGCTTAGAAACTAAATATCAGTGTGCTCAGAATTGGTGTGACAGAAGAGCACTTACCTTTCGGTATGTTCTGAGATTGCAGCAGACTTGAAGTCTAGATATTTGGGCCCGTTCCGAGGCTCCAGGCTGCTACATGTTGGATTAACAGATGCCACTTTGTGTTGGAGTGAGATAGGCCTGTTGGTCTATTGAGGCAGCACACAGGTGCATAATGGCGAAGTAAAAATGATGGAAGAAAAGTGATGGTTTGTGAAGAGCCGCGTTCTCATTATAATTGAACAATTTGTAGCTGTTGTAGGATTAGTTTATTTTCCTTAAACTAATACACACACACACCAGTGTCCCTTGATTAAATTGCGCCCCGCGTGCTCTTAGTGCACTCGGGCTGTTTATTTGTGCGTGCAATGGTTTTTCCTCCGCCGCTGAAGTGTCTCGGTAATCCCCCTTTTATTGTGAAAGGTTATTCTCCGCATGCTCCGAGCTCTGTCTATAAAGATTAGCTATTCCTGGAAAGACTTCCATTTGCCTCTCATTATCAGACTTCTGTTACCTTCTGTCGGTCAGGCAGCTACGAGCACCTCTCCTCCACCTAAGGTGAAGAGGAAGTGCTCTGTGTCAATCATTTTAACACGGGAGGGTCTAAAATGGCAGTTCAATGGCAGATAATCCTGAGACTAAAGTTTTTACTGTGTGTGTGTGTGTGCTGCCCAGCATGGGATTTCTATCCACAGGTAGGCCAGATGCTACCTGTCATCTCCATTCAATCAATGTAATCACTGACCTTTGCAGCAACATGGTTGTTTGCATATGGTATCAGGGCCAGAGGGAGTACCAGAAATCAAGACGAGTGAATAGATTGTAGGGCTTTGTTTTTCTCCTTCCATCACCACCACCACCTAATCCCCTCTATAATGAAAAACCGAAAGAGGCAAGCTAGGGACAGAGGTGTTAGAAGTCCATATTCCTCTTTTTCACTGTGCACCTGTGTGTGTGTGTGTGTGTTCTATGATCTCCTGGCTGATACAGTATCAGCATAGAGCAGCTGTGGTGAAACAGTTGCAGAAAGAGGAAGCTCTAACAGTTACCACACAGTGAGTGAATCTGCAGTATGGGCTTCCCTCTCAAGCCAACTTGCAATGTGCAGAGGATTCCTGGGGACACACAGCTTTGGTCTACTGACGGTTATCTGGGAGTCGGACATGCACAGAGGTGTGAAGGAGTGTCTGTCCTCTTATTCAGATCTTTTAAGTAAAAGCAGCAACACAAATTGCACATTTACAGAGTTTTGTCTAGTCGAGGTGAACCACTTTAGATGCTGTTTGTATAAAAAAGAAGATACATATTTTATTAAATGCTTGTAATGAATGTAATAATATAGCTGTTGAATATTGTTGAGTAAAACTTACAATATTTTAAAAGTATACTGTAGCATGAAATGGAAGTACTCAGCTCAAAATACTCAAAAGTACCTCAAAATATAAATGCAGCACTTGAGTAAATTGCACCTCTACCTCGGTGTTGACATATCAAGAGTTCACTGGTTTGGCTTCAACGAGGGCCTACAAGCAGTGGTGGATTAAGTACTCAGATCTTTTACTTTAGTAAATGTAGCAAGACCGCAGTCTAGAAATACTATGTTAAAAGTGAAAGCTCTGCAGCTGAAAGTGCTCATTATGCAGAATTCTCCATTTCAGAGTGATATAAAACTAGTTCCTGATGCATTAAATTAATTTGATACTCGGAGCATCAATATAGCAGCAAACCACTATTACATACGTATGTGAATACATAGTGGGTAATGTCTACCTGAGCAGAGAATGAAGTCACTCTGTGCTTTGTAATCCAACCTCTGTGCTTTGTTGACATAGCCGGGCCGGCCGCGCGTGCTTTTAGTGCATGTTCAATCATTTGAGCGTGCCCCACTGGTTAGCTCGCGGCCGCCACTCTGCACCGTGTTCATATGTTTACAGCTGATGAGGCCGTCCTGACCTACGGTGTCGTCGCGGAAGCATACAGCACCCACCTTCCGCTTCCCCCCTTCAGGTAAACACTGCTAGCTCTGTCTTTTGAACTTTGTTTGCTCCGTTAGCGCTGTAAACTCCGTTAGCGCTGTAAGCACCGTTAGCCGCAGGCTGCCTGCTCAGCCGTCGCCATGTTGAGAGCCCTTTAGAGGCAATAGAAATGCTCCAATCTCGTATAGAGCACCTTTGATATTGCAGTTAACTTTGGGGTGAATTCAAACTACTTTATATGCTGTGCAGTAGCTTAATCTATAATAATCCTGAACCTCAAATTGATTTTATGTATTAATTACCTGAATCTAGAAACTAGTGGCTAAAGCTGTCAGATAAATGTAGTGGAGTAAAAAACATATTTGCCTCAGAAGTGTCAAGTGGCATAAAAGGAAATACAAGTACTTGAGAAAATGTACTGAGTTACTTACCACCACTGCCTCTCTGCCTACAGTATAAGGAGCATTTATACAGGTATATTTCCTCAATATGCAGGATGCTGCATCTCATCAAGAGCTTGTATTCATCTGCAGTGAGGGCATGCATAACACAAGAAACACATCTTGCGCTCTTATCTTTGCTGAGAAATCGTCTGGAGTTTCTTTGAATGAAAAATTGCTAATGCATCCTGAAAACACAATTCATAACCTCAATTTACAATAACTAAACAGGCTGTATGATTACTTTTGGGATAGATATTAGTAATTTCTTAAATATCACACCACATTTTAAGTGTCATTTCAAAATGTGTCTTTACCTTCAGCAGCCTGGCAGAGATTGACTTTAAACATTTTGGCCTGTGAATGCCCGGGTGGAGGTATCAGTCGTTGAAATACCGGCTATTTAGTGGCATTAACCAGAAATAGGCTGCTGATATTGGTTGAGTGCTTTCTTGTCTTGTATTGAAAGTCATTAGTTCTTCAGAAGTGGAAATGGAGTATTGATACGCTACTCTGTACATGGGTCCTAATTGTTGTGGTTTGGTTTTAAATTGTACTGTAATTGAGGATGGATACTGCATGATGTATGATAGAGGTTAATGGCTTTCAGTTAGCTTCTGAACTAAAACAGATTGGAAAAGTGGGATTAGAAAGTTGTCAGATAGCCAAACAGACAAAACTGCAAAATAACAAAAACATCAGTTAGTATACCTAAAGAAATCTACAACACAAACACATTTTGTCTCACCGTTACATTCTAAATGCAAGTTATTTACAACTAAGCCTCAAGAAAAGAGGTAAATATCTGCGGTATTTGTGCAAGTAAAGAGTGATACTGATATTTTTGATATTGCTGTATCATGTCCTTCTTTTAGAGGAAGTACAACGATATGAATCTACATGTCACTTAGATGTTTTCCATAATCAAGTTCATCAGCTTGAAAAACCTCTACAGTAAATTGTGAATATCCTCAAGCCAATACAGTCATATGTGTACTGTGTGTTACAGCAGCTTATCTCAATTTACTTTCTCCACATTCAGGATGTAGCCCAACTTTTTTTTTTTTTTTTTTGGGGGGGGGCAATTACCCCAAAAAAGGAAAAATGGGGGTAAATGCACCCCTGTCCTAAAGCTGATGGAGGCCCAATCAATAACGACCCCATCACATGTTTTCCTTCAGATTCCGAGCAGGCTTCTTTAAATGTTAGCTCTAAGTTTAGACGGATGCACAGAGGTGGGGCTGTCGTGTCACACTTTCCACACTGGATGTTATCACAACAGTCCATCACACACAGTAGTAGTGTCTCGTGTCTCTTTAAATGCGGGTTGCGTAGATCCTTCATGAATGAAACCATGTGATCCAAACATCATTTGACGTCTGGCGCCTCCGACCATAGACTAAAACAAGCGACGAAGGAGTGGATATATGTAGACCTGCGAAAAGGCGTGAGCGGAAAAAAAACATTTCTCCAACAGTCTCTCCACACCGGGTCGACCAACCATCGGCGAACCCCCGACCTTCGAGGGCGAAAGTCGCTTGGTTTGACTTCTGGTGAGTCAGCTTTTGTCGAAATCAAAACCTTTTCTAAATTCCTTAAAAAGTGCTGAATATAGAGGTGTTGTTTTGCTGAGTGTGCGCGGCCACCGCCGCTGCCGTGCCGCCGCGGCCGCCGCCACCGCCGCGCTTGTGTTGCCGCTTGTCCCGGCGTGCGCCGCTGCCGCTGAACTCACAGCAACACCGCTTGCCGTTTAAAGGGCAGCAGTCTGGTATAGTGCTGAATCATCACGGTCCAGTCCTCATACCAGACCCGCACATGCCGTTCCGAGAGACCTAGTCGGTCTGAGCGGACAGCCACGCCGACCGACCAACCGGCGCGTTTTCGTAATAACGCAGACAAAGGGGATGCACTTCGCGTACGGCTGTCAGGCTTAAAAAGAAAGAAAGAGAGAGAGAGAGAGAGAGAAGCCATGTGTCGGAATTAAGAGACCGTGCGGGGAGTCCGAGAGCAGGTCGGCTGTCTGTGCTCTTACGGTCGGGGGTTCCCTTGTTGTGTGGCTACTAAATGGCTAGACCTTTAGAAAGGTGAACGTATAGCTGGGGGGGCGGGGGGGGGGACCCTGGACGTAGAGTAACAACTTAGGACAGCAACATCAACACACCGTGAGCTTCTGTCCTCTCCGCCGGGGTGCTGAAGCGGCAGCGGCGGACACACACAGAAGCCTCTCCCGCTGTCGCTTCACACACGGACTCGTCTGTCGCTTCTTCACAGGTAAGATGAGCAGCGTGTTCGTGAAGTGTGCTGGTGGACATGTTTATGTGTTATTGCGGGCGGTTACATTTCGTCCACTCGCTGCTGCGCGTGCTGAGTTTGCGGTGTGACAGAAGTAAAATGTGTAATGAATAAAAACCGGCGACAACAATAAACAACTCCGGCTGACGTCGTGGTGTTTTTATGGCTCGAGAGTAACGTTGTAGTCGGTGGTGAGAGGGCAGCGTCTTGTGACATTTGCTTTGTGTCAGACGCTGTTCTTCCGACAGGCCTTCTTCTCTTCATGTATCTCTTTATTACATTTAAATGACTCCTGCTGTCGGTGTAAACACAGAGGAACGGTCTATTTCCCGGCGTACACCGGCTGGGCTCGCGACAGAGATGCTGATTCATCACAACGTTGTTATTTCTCAACGTTTGCGCGAGCAGAGCGGAGGCACGAGGGAGCCATGGCAACATGGCACCGGCGGCGGGCGGGCGGACAAAGGTCTGGCGCGCGAGGGAAGGAAGAGCTCGGTGTATGTTTGAGGGTCTGACACACGGAGGCCCGATGGTGGAGTGGATGTTCACGTTTGTATGTGATAATTAGAGCTCGCGTGGGCTGCGGAATGTGTGTTTTAAAATGTCATTAGTGCTAAATTTGGTTATTCAGCGGGATCAAATGCATTTCCGGTCAAAGTAAATATGAATAATGTGCACGCGGGCATGATGAATATCGCACTGAAGATTATTCAGTTGATTAATAACCTGTTTGTACTTTTGGGTTGTGACGTGAATAAACCATGTTTACAGTCACAGGCTGCTGATATCTTGCAGTGACCTCACTCACCTTTTTAAAGTCAACAAATCAATCAAAAAATGCTAAATATTAAATGTATTTGGACAGAAACTGCTGAAAGCTGCAGGGGAGGAGGCATTCCCACGTCTGTTAATGTTGAGCATTGACTGCTCATGAACCCACACAGAGACTAAAAAAAGAAAAGCACCTCAATGAACTCTAATGCGTTGCAACAGAATACCCTCTGATTGATCTCTTATAGATGGGCCATTATCTGCTGCCTATATGAGCATTGCAACTCTTACCAGCGACGAGTAATGGGAAGCTCTGTGGGCTCAAGAAAAACAGAAACTTCACCCCCTAATGACTCCATATCAGCAGCTTTAGTGAGAGTCAGCACTCTGCGGAGTGTATCAAAAGTATGTAGTAAGCAAGTTGGCAAGTACTGTAATAGAGGGTCATAATGATGAAACAGTTGTATCAGTATTGGAGAGAAGAGCAACCCCCCCCCCCTCACTGTCTTTCTCTCTCACACACACACAGTTTCCCCATCTCCTTCCCTCATTGTGTGTACACACACACACAACCACGGGGCTAAACTTTTTATACTTGGTATCAGTATTTAATCAGTGCTTGAAGTGCATTTCTCTGTCAAGTACTTTCCCCATCCTTCCCTGGTGTTCGCGGTAATTGAACGCTGACCAATGCTTATGCGTGCAACTTTGCTGATGGTGGCGAAGCGGCAAGGCGCGCGGAGCAAACGGGGGGATGAAGGAAGAGGGAGGAAGAATGAGAGATGGGATTTGCGGAGAGATTGAGAACAAGGACCTTTTTGTCTTCAAGGCATTCCCCTGAAAATGCTGAGGCGAAGCAAATGCGCTCTCGCTTGACAGATGGCGTTTTCACTTGTTACTTAGCACAGCTAGTTTCTTTGCCTTGCCATGTGCATGTGTCTGTGTGTCTCTCTCTGTGTGTGTGTGTGTGAGCAGGATATGTAAAACATCTAGTTGCTATAGGGGCTGTGTGTGAGAGCACAGTAAGCACCAAGGTTAGAAAACCGTGTGTGTGTGTGTGTGTGTGAGAGAGAGAGAGAGAGCTCCTAGCTTTACTAGCAAGATGTTGAAAGAAGATGCCACGGGAAGTGGTTTTATTATCAGTTGGTCACTACATCATTTTGCACTTAGCAGATTCCTTTCCATCTAACACTATGACCTGAAGCTCCTCTCTTCACGAGGAAGTCAAGTAATGAGTGTTAACATGACTGTGTGTGCGTGTGCGTGTGCGTGTGTGTGTGTGTGTGTGCATACAAAAACTTGTTTGATCCTCTGCATGTAGGGGTCAAGTTGATGTAACACTGTGTAAAACCTCCTCTAGGTGTGTGAGGAAGGAAGGATGGGACGGCAGCTTCTGAGCGTTTTATACCGCTGAGAAGAAGATATGCACGTGTGTTGAGAGCTGAAATGATTTGCTGATTAATCAATTAGGGAATTAATTGGCAGCCATTTTTTTTAAGTCTCTTTCTTTTCACTTGTTTTTCAAATGGGAATGTTTGTATTTTTGACTCTCTTCTGATAGTAAACTAAATCTTTGGGTTACAGACTGTTGGTCAGATGAAACAAGCTGATGAACACCAGAATGTCATCAGATTAATCACAGATGAAAATCATTTTAAATATTGTCATTATTGATTAATCTGATGATACATATTTTTTTGAGTAATGAATTCTTTTCATTGTCTAAGAAAAAAGGTTTCACCAAAGTTGAACCCAAAGTAAAATCTAAACTAAATATTTAGTTTACAATGATGTGACAAAGAAAAGCTTCTCTTTGAGAAGCTGGAATCAGAATCTGACATTCATCATGTTCATCATTGAAAAATGAACATCAAAATAGTTGCAGATTATTTTTTTATTTTTGATTGAATAATCGATACTTAGTTTCAGCTTTAATTAGAGGTTTACAAGGAAAAAACATGCATTATAATACAAAAGCCTTGTTATTATGTTATAATAATGTTGCCAGTAGGTATCGTTACTCTGTCATACGGCTGCCTGTAATGTACATTATACTGATAGGGCTACATGGATCAGAACAATAGTTTATTTGTATTTACTTTAAGGAAAATGTTTTTTTGTGTGAACCTTCCTGCTAACAAAACAAGATAAACGTCTAAAATGCGTCAGTCTCGACAAAGAGCAGCCGTACAAGAGGTCTCCTTTATTGCAGGGCTGTAGTACTGGATTGCATTAGATTGCACAGGTGTTCACACTATTGTGTCCACCTCCTGTGTCTGTGTGGGAGAGTTTGGTGTTTGTGGAAATGATTTCTAAGTAGCGCCTGCATGTTTATGAGCTTGTTTACTACTGGGATCCATTAAAAAAAAGTCTTGTTATTTTTGCAAATTTCTGAGAGTGGGAGAGAAATAAAAAGATGGAAAGTAAAAGCAGGAGTCACAGACGGAATGGGAGAGTGGGTGAGAGAAAAGTAAGCCGTGGGGCAGATCAATAGTTGAGTGTTTTTTCTCCACAGTAATGATGAAACATGGTGTAAGCAGATCTGGTGCATAATCATTGCTGTGCTCCACTGTTCTCCTGCTCCACTGTGTGAGTGTGCTGCATGTCCTTGTGTTATCTTGACTTTGTGTGTGTGCGTGTGTGTGTGTGTGTGTGTGTGTTTTAAATGTACCTTCCCTCCACAAGTGTTTTGACTCCTTATTTACATAACGCACACACGAGAAGTCAAAAGGATTAGGAAATGGAAAACATGTTTAAGTTCAGTCTAAGTGGCTCAAATTACTGCTTTTCTGTATCAACAATCACGCTTTGATCAGCACTTTAAAGTTACATTTTCCTGTTTTCCCTCAAGAGGACTTCTGGGTTTATTTCCCAGACTCCAGTTAAAGGAGACGACTCGTTCCCACACGTACACAAATAGACACGTTCGCTCCAAACCAGAGCAATGATCTCGTTTTGCACGCATGTGTTGAGATATTGAGAATGTAGCCGTGGAGACAGGAGTATCCGTGTACCAGCGGTTGTCTACCAGTTGCATCATCTCTATGCGCCAATTTGCCGCATTTTTTAACTGCAGTGTGACGATCCCCGAATAGTGGTTTGAATTTCTCAACCTTTTTAAAATAAAAATACATACACACACACACACACACACACACACACCATGCAGATCAATGCCAAGAAGTGAAGAGAGGGAACAAAGATGTGTGTGTTTGTGCCTCAAATGTGGCCCCAGCTCTTTGCTCTCACCTGTGGCATTACATTAGTTCCTTGCAACAACAGTTCTCCACCTGTCCTAAGTTCACACTGATGCCTAAGTTTGGGAACTTTGGGTGTCATCTTTAAAACACCTCTAAATCACCCTCAAAGTGACTGAATGTATGGCATGCAGTATTGGCTTCACTTGTTCACCATTAAACCTGCGTAGGTCACGCGTATCCTCTCTGGATGATGATTCTTCTCGTACTGTCAACTAAAGTATCGCTCGTACGTCCGTTTGACCTTTCGTAGAGAACGGTGACTATGCCCGCAGCAGGTATTTTCATTGTCCATTTCATCTGCAATCCTTTTGTTTATTTCATTGATTAGTGGATGAAATGTCAGAACAAATATTCATAACAAGGTGATCTTCAAATGGCTTGTTTTGTCCAACTCAAAGATATTCAATTTACCAGCACATACCATCATAAAACAAAATCATGTAGAAGAAGCTGGAACCAGTGAATGGTTGTCCTAAAGAATGACTTAAAGGATGAATTGGACGTCAACACTGTTGTTTCTATTGATCAACGATTTGATTGATCAACCTGTTATTGCTCTAAAGCAGACGGAGCTGGAAGACGAAAACCAGAATTGTCGACGACGACTTTCATTTTGATTTCTTTTGTCTTTATTCTGGAAACCTTGCAATATATTATTGAGTTAAATTCATTAAATACAGAGAAAGCCTATTAGCATAATGCGCAAACAATCAAAACAATTGATGCGCTACTAGAGGAAGTCTATAGGTTGTAAATGTTTGTCATGAAAGACAAACTAAAACTGACTGTGTGGAGTAAAAGAGACATCGCTACGACAGTAGAATGTGCACATGGCCACATGCTATGGTCCTGTGTGTGTGTATTTTTGTGTCATGCTTCAGTGCGAAAGGCCACCGCTCTCCATGACACCTCCACGAGCTACAATCTCCTTTGTTTGTTTCTCCTAAC